CCCTCTCCCCTGCAAACCCCCTCTCCCCTGCAAACCCCCTCTCCCATGTAAACCCCCTCTCCCATGCAAGCCCCCTCTCCCCTGCAAACCTCCTCTCCTCTATAAACCCCCTCTCCCTTGCAAACCCTCTCTCCCCTGCATTTGCCAGCCACAAGACCTGGTGCCATGGCCCTGCCTTCCTAAGTAACGGAGGAAACACCACCTCCCAGGCACACAAACCCTCACGTGGTATGACTGCACTTGCCCAGGGGCCTCCCTGGCAAGTTAGCCCCAGCGGGGCTGCAGCCAAGTTGGGCCCGGGGATCTCCTCTTGACAGGCCTAGGCCGGGGTCCTGGGACAAGGGCTGTGACCAGCAGGGAGATGGGGGTCCTGGAGGACACAGCTCCAGTCCCCACCACAGGGACTATGGAAAGAGAGTTGCCAAGGTGCCACAGCAAGAGACTGAAGGTGCAATCTGTCCCAGCATAATGAGTAAATTAGTACTTAGTTATAGCAACGATATATTTACTGATTACTTAGTTACAGCAATGACACCTATTAGACTTGGATTCAATCACATAATTATATAATCAATCTTATTACATCATTATTCTCTTTTTTTTTTTTTTTTTGAGACGGAGTTTCGCTCTTGTTACCCAGGCTGGAGTGCAATGGCGCGATCTCGGCTCACCGCAACCTCCACCTCCTGGGTTCAGGCAATTCTCCTGCCTCAGCCTCCTGAGTAGCTGGGATTACAGGCACGCGCCACCATGCCCAGCTAATGTTTTGTATTTTTAGTAGAGACGGGGTTTCACCATGTTGAGCAGGATGGTCTCGATCTCTTGACCTCATGATCCACCCGCCTCGGCCTCCCACAGTGCTGGGATTACAGGCTTGAGCCACCGCGCCCGGCCACACCTGGCTAATTTTTAAATGTTCTGTAGAGAGGGTCTCACCATGAGGCAAAATTGAAGCACTATGTTGCCAAGGCTGGTCTTGAACTCCTGGGCTCAAACAAGCCTCCCGCCTCAATGTCCCAAAAGTGCTGGGATCACAGGCGTGAGCCACCGCAGTTGGCAAGTCTATTACTGTCTATCAGATTCTAGGAAATAATGGCTCTTTGTTCTTGATATTGGTAATTTGTGCTACCTTTCTACTTTTTTCTTTTGAGACTGAGTCTCCCTCTGTTATCCAGGCTGGAGTGCAGTGGCACCATCTCAACTCACTGCAACCTCTGTCTCCTGGGTTCCTGTGCCTCAGCCTCCCGAGAGGCTGGGATCACAGGCGTGTGCCACCACGCCTGGCTAATTTTTGTATTTTTAGTAGAGTCAGAGTCCCATCATGTTGGCTAGGCTGGCCTCCCAAAGTGCTGGGATCACAGGCATGCACCACCACACCTCATCTATCCTTCTATTTGTTTACTTGCTTTTCAGAAGAGGTCTCTCTCTGTGGCCTGGGCTGGAGTGCAGTGATCCCTACCTCAGCCTCCCAGGTAACTGGCACCACAGGCTGGAGCCACCACGCCCAACTCATCATATTGTGTGTGTGTGTGCGCCTGTGTATGCAGAGATGGGATTTCCCAGGCTGGTCTCAAACTCCTGGGTTAAAGCAGTCCTCCCACGTGTGTGTGTGTGTGCACATGTGCATGTACGTGTGTGTGCAGAGATAAACTCCTGGGTTCAAGCAG